AGCAGGGGACTAACTTGCAGCTTTTCCACTGGGTACTTTTATAATCACTGCTAAAATGACTCTAGGGTTTGGGATTAAAAACCAGGAGAAATAAGTCGTTAGTAGGAACTATGTTTCATAAAATGGTTTGTATTGAAGTCTTTTGCATCAATGTTATTTGACAACATGCTAATTAAGGCTATTAGCACACACTCGGGCGTAATTATTCAGCAGAATATTTAGGTATTTAGCAGTGTTGTTTCACTTGAACGTGGGAGTCAGGCAGCTAAATCCTCTTGCATTACCAAGTATTTCTGGCATGACAACAGTGTAGGAGACTTTGATTCATGCTCCAGAGTTGCCCGGGTACGTTTCTGGAAGAGGAGTTATGATTTCAAAGCCAATGTTCCAATGGATGAAAACAGCAGGTCCTCCACAGCTATGCAGTCCCAGTGACAAAAGACCTCTTTTTTTTTTTTCCAACCAAGCAAAAGAGACATAGCCAAATGTTTAAATCTACCCTTCCCTTCAGGCAGAAGCTCCAGAAAACAGAACAAAAGTGGTTGTGTTTTGTTTTTTTCCCCAAGGAGTAAGGTTTCTTGCAATAAATATCTGTCTGAAAACAGAGTATAAAGTTGCAAATCAAATTCTGAATTAGCAGTGAAGGCAGGAGCCATTCCCAGATCCCAATGTTAACAGGTCTGCACTCCAACTGATATCAATCCTCCAAAATCCCAGACGAGCACACCCATGCTGCAGCAGGCAGCGTGGACGCAGCTCCTTGTTGACCTTACTGGGGCTGGCTTTCATGTTGCCAGTTCATGTACTGATAAACAGTACAATTTGCAACTGTATGTAGTTCAAAGCATAAAAAAACCTGCCAGACTCTGAGAACATATGAGGGCACGTAGCCTGGAGCTGAAAGCCATGCTGCTGCATGTACCCAAGCTCAGCTGGAGCTGTAATCACACCTTTTGAATGAGCGTAGGCATGTCCTGCCATTGAAAAATTTGGCTTTCCCCTCTTGAGGCAAACTGGTGCTGACACTTTCAGGTATTCAAGCCTCAGGGAAGGTATTTGGCAGTTCCTCGCTTTGCTGTAGGTGAGCGTAAAGAAAAAAATCCCAACAAAATCCAAACCGTGTTCAGTTCTAGGAAGAGAATAGAGCATCAATTAATTGATTGTCTTTGGGTTAGCCAAAGTTCAGTTAAATTAGATTGTGCTGCAAAGCTATGCAGAGGTCTCCCAGGTTTGGTTCACAGCATCTGGTTGGTTCACTTCATTAGGAGCTGCTCAGCAAAGCCAAGGACTGTAAACGCCACATGAGAAGAAGCTGCAGCTCCATGGTAAGGCTGCCTGTTCATTCAAACTAGTGCAAGGTCTGCAGTAATCTTGCCTCAGGTTAATTTACTTCTGAAGGAAACTCATCTTCAGGAGATCTCATGCATTTTGACAAAGGTATTTGTTACCCAAAACACGCCCACATAGACGACTGTACTAGGTTTCGCTAAACTCTTGATATTAAACAAAGGAAAGTGGCTTTGTCTTTTCCAGCTTCCAGACGTCTCTACAGGGACTACGACTAGGCCTTAAAGACTTAAAGCCAAAAGATGCACGTGTATCAATTCAACACATATATTCACAGTCAACAACTCACCTTGAATTTAAACAAAAAGGAGTACAAGCAGCACGTCCCTCATCAGCTAGCTGCTGACCTGGCGAGGTGCAATCCTGGCTCCCTTCAGTCCACGGGCACTCTGCTGTGGGCATCAGCGGGGCCAGGTCTGCACCCTCTGAGGGCACTGACTTTACAGATCAAGGACTAGAAAATGGTGCAACTGAGGGATTCAGGTGATGGCCAAAGAGAAGGGCGATGGGAAAGCACGTTTTATGGAGCACAGGCAAGAAAGCACATCAGCAAATTCACTAATGGAAATGGGGAAGGTAAAACATGAAAGCTACAAAGATGCTGTACTTCATTTGTAAAGAACACTTCAACCTGGAGATAAATCTTAGGCTAGATCATGTTGTGCCTTCATGAGTTTGTCGGGGGCGGGGTGGAAATCAAGCATTTTCAAGCAGTGTATTTTAAGCAGCCTTTTCTTGCCCACCTCCTGGATTCCCAGATGATGTTTAATGCTGTTGCTCTAACAAATCCTTTTGTTACTTGAGAGCTGGGAACAACCAGGCAGTGAATTACACTGATTGTACTGCAAAGTTGGAGGAGGTCTAAGACTCTTTAAATAGCTGATATGTGAATCTGTGTTGCATGTTTCTTTTCAAAGGGTTTTTTCCTCAAGTCTTTAAGTTTTAAATAGTAGTTCCTGAAAAACTACCATGATGCAATTCTAGGTACATAGGTAAAGCAATACCTAGTCAGATTAAAAGTCTCCATTTTGTTCTCTATCTTGCATCTGGGTAACCCTAGAGCCTGGTAGGTCAAACCCAACACAGATCAAACCAAAGGTAAATGCAAATGAAAGAAACAGCCACACAAACCAGCACTTCCTCATCTGCACTGGCAAAGGCTGGAAAGCTGCACATGTTTAAAATACAAGCGTCCATCTACAATGGGTTTTGATAACCGAATGTAGGCCAAGTAACCCATTGGTTTATCAAAGGTAACCCATTGTTAAATAGGCTAATATTCAACATAAGTAGACAAAAGGGTTAAAGAAAAGGTTTCCAGAAAAGGTGGTGGTAGGACACCTACTTGTCCCTATGAGTTAAGTTAATGAAGGCTACAGTGGTGTTTAGAGAATTTGGATGAGCTCTGAAGTTTCTCTTTTCCCAATGATTCAATAGTAACAGTCATGTCTCAGTGAAGTCCTTATGTACCGTAATCACACATCACTCAGCATTTCTCCTTCCTAAAAACTAAACCACTGGAAAGAAGGAAACTGTTCCAAGTTCCTTCCTGTGGCTGAGGACGCTCAGATGAGGACACACACACACAGACAGGAAAGCTTGGCCATTTAAGCTTAAAATACAAAACTACATTGGCCATTACAAGTTAAATTAAGTGGTTCTGGAAGCAATACTCTTTAAGACACGAGAACAATCATTTTTAAAGGTCAGCACTAAAGCATAACCAACTCGTTTTTCTTGGCAGAACAAACATATGATTTGAGGTTCAGATAATTATATTGCTCTGCACAGGAGAGAATAAATGCCTTCATCAGAAATGAAAAATGCAGAACATCAGAATAATTTGTGGAACCATTTTTACAGGAGATCAGAGCCTGAACAATTGGTGCTATGCAAATAAATGGCCTAACCTGAGAAGTCTTATTCAAGTGTGTAGAAGAGCACATGCAGAAGTATTCATTAAAGTCAAGGGGGCTACTTGTGCTAGCAAGGGCAAGTTCAAGGACTGGCTTTCTTTTCTATGCTAGGAGGAAGGCAAATTAAATGTCATGCTTCAGGACATAAAACTGATTGCTTGAAGAAGTCAGGAAGGGCACTGTGTGCACTTTCATGTGGAGTAATGCACATCACGTTTGAGAGGTGTATTACGTTGTTCTTTCCCTCTACCTTTGAAGTCTCAGGTACCGGTCACTGAGAGAGACAGAAAAATAAATTATACATAAACCCAGCTGTCTAGTCCTAACTCTGTCCAGAGAAAGCATTAGTGTTTTCTATGTAATATCCCAAACATGAAAGTGATGAACAATTTCTTTTGTCTGTTGGACAGTAATTGATCTCTTATGAGCCACATTTGTGCCTAGAGTGATCACGGTTGGCTTCATTAGGGCCATTGAATGAGGTTTGTTTTTTTCCAGCCCACTCACAAAGCAATCACAACAATTCAAATCTTAATTTCTCTGAAATCCAAAGTGCATAATCGTGTTAGGATCAGTCTCCAAAGCAGTCACTTATCAAACAGATGGATTTCCTAGTGAAAAAGAAGCCAAATGCACTTCAGCACTGCTTGCTTTGAAAAATACCCAAAACTTTAATTTCCTGCTTTTCAAAGAATAGTCCAATCCTAGTGATTAAGCTTTAGTATCCACCTCTGAAAACACAATCTCCGACACACTGTGGACAACTCCAAGAGAAGATTAGCAATCCAACTTGCACACACATGCTCAGCAGCTGAAATGCCTGCCTTTCCTTTCTGTGCCTGCAAGCCTGTGGTAACAGGCTATTTTTATCCTGCCACTGTTAAGCAGATAGTGACAGTTAATTAAACTAGGCCTTCACCTATTACGTGAGCCGAAGGACTGCTTACAGGACTAGTACAAAGGTCTCACCTTTTATGCTTTGCACCTTTATTAGTGCCAGTAGATACCCAACAACATTTTCTCCCTTGACAGCATTTTATTTATCTTTCCTCCTCCATTCACCTAGCATAAATGTAGAGAACTGCATGAGATAGAAGGCAAAGAAAAAAATCAAGCCTTGGAGTCTTAACACAGATAAAGTCCACGAAAAGGATATTCAACAGGTGAGGTACACTAAGCATTATTCCTAACATCACACTGGATTCTGCAGTGCTATATAAAAAGCAATGTGATATTCCACCTCTTATTTTAAGCCACTTTAAAAAAAAAATCCTGCCTCAAAGGAAAATAAATCATAACATTGTAACAGTGTCTTTTCAAAGCAGCACAGTTCTCAAAAATCTGCATTCTTACCTGTAATTTCAAATTAAATTTAGAGGCACATATCTGAGTCAAACTTATATCCTCTGGTAGGAAATGTTATTGTAAGTTCAAAGTCTTGCATATGATTGACAAGGCAACTTAAATACTGGAGGAGGAGAAGGGAAGAAAGAGAAGGAATGAATAATCTCTTCAAGTAGGGCCAGGCTTCCTTGTTTTTAAAGTACCAAGGTTTGGGTCTAAGTGTTTTAGATGCTCAAGTTTCATCTGGTTTGACTGCCAGCCAGAGGACTACCCTTCTTTACACCCTTGGCAAAAGCCAAAATCTAGAATAATCTTGCTCTAACTGGTTGCATTAGAAATGCAGTTTTGCTGAAATTCAAGGTTTCAAGATAACAACAAAACAGGGACTTAAAGGGCTGATTTGCAAAGATGAGATACTGCTCGGGCTTTTACACAGCTTCCCACTCCGCAGCGAGCAGCTGAAATACAAAGTCATATTTAACATATCACTATTACTCTAACTTCAGTGTCTGAAAATAAACCCGACTCGCAGTGCTGAGTTTAATGATGCAAAAAGTGTGGGTGAAATAAGAATAAATGGAAAAGAGAAACAAAATCACGAGTCGGTCTTATTTGGGCGTTCTGGATTTTTTTCCTTCCTTTCCCTGGGGCACACATCATATTGCAAAATGTTCATTCACAAAATAGAGCTTGACATTTGGAGAAGAAGGCGGACTTCGAAAGAAGTCTGCCTAATCACCCAGCATGGGACTTGAAAAGTTGCACGTAAAGTGACTTTCATCTGTTCCTAAAGCTATTGAATCACAGAACGGTTTTGTTTGGAAAAGATCTTTAAGATCATCGAGTCCAACCATCAGGAGACAGAAAGGATTTTGGTGGAAAAAAGGTTTGTTGTCAGGATTCAGGAAGAACAATTATTTATCACCTTTAACCTCTGTGGGGAGATTAACACCTTTTTTTGCACTTACGGTTTTTACTAGACAAATGTGGAACTGGACTCATAATTTTCTCTTGAGATTACCCAACAGGTAAGAAAACACTTTGACAACTTGAAATCATCAAGTCATCTCACTTTTCCTAACCTACGGGCACAGACTCCTGGGCAGAGATTACGTTTCAGAAGGAGGGGTAGGCTGGCACACAGCCTGGGGCGGATAACTTATGGCAGGAGACTGTGCAGAGACTGGAGAAAGTGCAGAAAATACAGCCAAAAGCATTTGGCTCTCTGTCCCTTTTCGATAGCATTGCCTCTCTCTGCCTTGCATCTAAATCAGCCTTGTCCCAGTGTATGACTTGTCCTTTTTTCTTCTATTTTTTTTTTGACTGGAGATACATAATTAAAGTACTGTGCTATGATCTCTCTTGATTTGTGCAGGTTATTTTCTGTCTGGACTGCAGGGTGTCTGACCCTCTGGGGCAGGGACAAGCAGGACAACAGGGCGTAAGATGATCAAATCTTATCCTTGATGAAGACAAGATGTTATGGATTCCCCAGACACAGCTGAGACACAGACCCCAGAAAAGCCCAACATGAGGCAAAATGGTAACCACAGCCCCACCATTTCAGCCTCCAGTGTCCCAAAATGTTACCTGTTGTGAATCTTGGCTTAGTGGGTGGCTCCTGTACAGACATTGGGAAGGTAGCAGAGGCAGGAGAGGACTGTGCACGGGACAGAGGCCGATGTCCTCCGAAAGAGACAGGCATGCCTGCTGCCTCCAGCGATGCCTGGTAGTTTCTCAGCTGGTGAATGCGTTGCTGCTCCAACAGAAGGGCTTGCTGTGGGGAAAAGAAGCAGGGAGATGCTGAAAGTCTGTGTGGTGCCTTCATAAAATGGTTTTAAAGGATTTTTAAGGTTTGCAGGCTTGGACTCCTTTCCCTGACAAATAAGTGCACGCACCTTTGTGCAACAAATGAAGATGCGTGCGTTTCTAGAGCAAGGTCAGGCAAGCGCGGTGTGTTCAAACACAGCCCAGAAGCTGGTACAGGCTGGCAGGGTCATTAGCAGAAGCAGCCCCCTCCTCTCCTTGGGTCTGGCCACATCTTTCTCCTCCGTGTCCCTGCACTGCTGCAGTGGTGCATTTAAGAGTGCAATGCACCAGACCAGGGAATGAGCCCGGCTCAACCGGACACCAGGTAGGAAAGGGAGCTTTCAGCCAAGCTGGTTCTCTGCACAACCACACCTGGAGAGGCTCTTGGTCAGAAGGGATGGCTGCTCCAGCTTGCCACGCTCCAAATAACCTAACAACTTTCCATTTCCTCTATTTACCCGCTCTCTTCTTTGAGGCAAAATAACTGCAAAGAACACAATATCTTAAAGACTCCTCAGGTGTGACCATGCACTCAGGATTAGGGCAAGGGAGGGCTGCACTTTCAGAGGAAAGATATCACTGTGGTCCATCATTAGCAGCATGTTACATTTAAATTAATTAATTTTTTACTACAGCAATGAGGCTCAGATGAGACTGTATAAATCAAATAACATTTTGTACAACCATGGCTGACAGTGGCACTGATCCTTCAAAGGCAGCGATGTTATGAAGATAACGCTGCTGAGTTAGGGACCGAAAATGTAGTCTCTGAGCAACTGCCAGCAACATTCATGAGGGACGGGCAAGTCAGCTCTGCAGTGCTAGGGAGACAGCAGCGAGATGCAAATGACTACGGGGAGTAACTGATTTCCACCTGATTCACAGTCATTGCAACTGCAAACCTGGCATGAGGCTGCGTTCCCTAGCCAAGGGCTGTGGATTTACTCACAGCTACACCCTGGCATGGCTACAGCAATCTGCACCCGGCTGCAGATCCCCTGCTCTGGGATCCCACACGGCTGTAGGTACAGTCAGATGCTGAGTGCTAAGGGCTGCAAACATGAGCAGAGCACTGATGCCTTAAGAGAACTGCAACCTTCTCGCCTTCATTACTGCGACCACAAATGCAGCTTGTGGGAGACTGCCATGTTATTGGGAAGATTATGTTATGCTACGTTGTTATTGGATTTACTTGCAATCCACAAGCCTCTGGTGTTCACCCTCAAAAGTAAGTGCAGCTGCAATCTCTGGGATCTCCAGATCTGAAGAAGGAACTCCCTCCAATGAAGCTCTGTCCCTTTATCCAGCCCTTCTCCAGGGCAGTCAATTTGTTTTAAAACATAAAATCTTCTGCTAGTATTTAATGCCCAAAAATGTTAAGCCACACTTTGTCTTCCCAAAGAAGCAGAGTGGTGCAGTGGCTGCAAACACATTGACTGTGTTTTGTGCGGGTTATCTGGATTCTCCTCCTTGGGATTTCTGAGTTGACACAGTGAGTTCAGGGAAGGATGGCACTGATTTTATCTGCAGGTTTCTTTACGTAGCAAACCCTCAAGAGCTGATTCTCCCTAGATTCTCCTCCTTCAAGTAGTGTAAGGTGACTACCAAGAACCAAACAGTCTTCTACAAAGAACCAAGTCCTCAACTCGGTACTTTGCGAGCTCACCTGACGGAAGAGCAGCTCCTGCTCAGCTTGCCTCTGCCCAGACTCCAGCTCCTGCTGTGGCTCTGCTTCCTCCTCATCGCTCTCGATGGGTTCCTGCTTCACTTGCACCATGTTGGCCAGCCCTGGGGCCTCCTTTTGGCTTGTGACTCTGTCGCTGTATGGCTCCTCCAAAAGGGCTTGGTGTTCCCGTAACTCTTCTTCTGTCTCCTCAGGGTGGCTTTCATGCTGGCGAGCTGGTTCATTGGGTTTGGATATAATCTGAAAACAACCCAGAGGTTAACCAATAAATAAAATGTGACTCATCACAGGTAAAGTTCACTCTGTTCTCCTCAAAGAGCCAGCCTCATGAAAAGAGCAATTGTGAATTATAGCTTTTATCTTATAAGCTATGTCCAAAACAACCACTCAAGGGAAAGGTCAGGGCAACCTTGGCATTAAGTGCTATGAAATCCTGTGTCCCAAGTAATGATGGCCCCTTCATTTTCCACTTGTTTTTCCCTCTGAAGAAATAAGAGCCTCTTGCACTTTCACACCTATGGGTGCTACGCCATTCGCAAACCCACGGATAAGCATAACAACCAGCAGTACATTTGGCAATTAAATTCTGAAAACAAGTAAGAGAGACACAAACCCTTTAAGAGGGTTTCTGCTATCTTGTTTGCCCTTGAATCACTTCCTGAACCTAATCTGTAAAGCGAGAGGCTGTCATAAAGATTCCTATGAAACTTGCACTCTTATGAAGTTACTTAGGAGGAAACTGAGGACATTCAGCTTAGGGCATCTGTACAGAAGCAAACCACAAGAAGAGCATCATTCTAACCAGACCTTCCTAAGCAGATGTAGTAAACTGCTCTGAAAGTGGCTGCTTTCAGGGGACTATACCACTTTCACTGTAATTCACACAGGCTCAGACTTTTCATAAGTTCACTGGTGAGATAAAATTCACAGTTCTCTGTCTCAGACTGCTTATGATTTTTATTTGGAACAAAAAAAAAGTGAACTGTTTTTAAATTCAACGTAGGTAAATAAATCAATTTCCTTTCTTTAAAAAAGCTCAGGCTGTACCCATTTCACAGGCTTATAAAAAAACTG